GGAAAACTGGATTTCCTGATGACATCAGCTGCCCTTTGAATGCAGAGAATAGGATGCCAGTCTTCTGGAAAGGTGTCCATCACCTTTTTAAAAGCTGAACCATTTCTCCATCCAATCACAGTTACTATCTTAAAGATGACACGACAGCCCCTCAAGACTAGTCAGGTCTCTAAAGCTTTGACAGTCTGAAATATTTTATCAGGAATTCAGGAAGTAATCATAATTTATTGCATCTCCCTTTTTTCCTTCCTTCTTTCCTTTTATCCCTCCTGTTGAAGAAAGTTTCTATGCAACTAGGTTCCACTGCCCTTAAGCCCAAAATTAACACAGGGATGCTATATTAATTATAAATCTGTGGTTTATGGCTATAGATCCTTACTAACTAGCCCACTTTTAATATTATCATTAAACTACAAATCAATGTATTTCTACATGGCCTTACCTTCCAGATAATAACTGGTGCTTCCTGTCTTCACATCTCTTCCAGGCCCAGTCTGTCTTCCTTTCCCCAGTCTTTCCCTATCTGTTCATCCCTGGCTATTGGCCAAACAGTGTTTTATTCATCAACCATATTAGAGACACATATATGCAGAAGGACATACCCAATCACTTCCCTCCCTCACTCCCTCACTCTTTCCTTTGTTCTTTCTTCCTTTCTTTATTTCTTTGGTTCTTTCATTCTTTTTCTTTTTGACAATGTGGCTCTCTGCATGTCTGGCTCTGTTAGAAGTTGCTCTTATAAGAAATGTGCCTCAGACTCACAGATTTGAGTCAGCCTCTGACATCTGACTACTCTGACCAAAGTCTTGGGCTACCACTTCATTCCTGGCTCATGAATTTCTACTTAATTACCTTAATCCCACAATTAGTCTTAAAACTGACATTGAAAGGTTATCTTTAATATTTATGTAAACATCAAGACTTGGTTATTAGTAGTAGTAGTAGCATTATAATTAGGTCATCATCATTAGTATTATATGTTACTAATTTGTTATATGGTCTCACTAGGCTGTTTTGATCAGACTAGCATTCTTGATATAGACTAAAATGTCCAGTGAAACAGAATTTACGGTTGTGGGAAAGGAAGCAAATTTTCACCAGGAGACCACTACGGGTGATAGTGAGTGCAACTTTTCCCTTTTCTAGAACCTGGTACCTGGAACCATGAATCATTTCTTTGGAGAAACCAAATCCTATATTTGCCTGTGATTCAAAGAATATACTCTATCCTGCATTTCATGATGATGCTACCCATTGGAAAAGAAAAGGTCAAGCATTCACTCTTTACAGATGATATGATAGTTTACATCAGTGACCAGAAAAACTCTACCAGGGAACTCCTACAGATTACAAATACTTTAAGAAAAGTGGAAGGATACAAGATCAACTCAAGAAAATCAGTAGCCCTAATACATACAGATAAAAAAAGGGCTGAGAAAGAAAGAAGTCTTTAAAGATATAAATTAACGAAGACACAAGAGAATGAAAAGATCTCTCATGCTCCTGGATAGATAGGATCAATGTAGTAAAAATAGCTATCTTGCCAAAAGCAACCTACAAATTCAATGAAATCCCCATTAAAATCCCAGAAAAAAGCTTCACAGACCTTGAAAGAACAATAATCTACTTTATATGAAAAACCAAAAGGACCAGGATAGCCAAAACAACACTATTCAAGAAAGCAACGTCCGGAGGCATCACCATCCTTGATTTCAAGCTCCATTATAGAGCTATAGCCCTGAAAACAGCTTTGTATTAGCATAAAAATTGACAGGTAGACCAAATGCAATAAAATTGAACACCCCAATATTATCCCATAAACATATGAACATTGATCTTTGAAAAAGAAGCTAAAAATATACAGTGGAAAAAAGAATACACCTTCAACAAATGGTTCTGGCATAAATGGATGCTGGCATGTAGAAGAATGAAGACAGATCCATGTCTATGGTCATGCTCAAAACTTAAGTCCAAATGGATCAAAGACCTCAACATAATTCCAGCCAAAATGAACATATTAGAAGAGAAAATGGGAGGTACTCTTGAATAAATTGGTACAGGAGAACACTTACTGAACTTAATGCCAGTAGCACAGACACTGAGGTGAACAATTAATACATGGGACTTTCTGAAACTTAGAAGCTTCGTTAAGGCAAAGGACACAGTCAAAAAGACAAAAGGCAGCCCAGAGAATGGGAAAAGATATACACTAACCCCACATCTGACAGAGGGCTAATCTCTAAAATTTACAAGGAACTCCAAAACAAGCAAGTCTCCAAAACACCAAAGAATGCAATTAAAAAGTAGTCTACAGTACTAAATTGAGAATTCTCAATAGAGGAGTCTAAAATAGCTGAGAGGCACTTAAGAAAGTGCTCAATATCCCTAGCCATTAGGGAAATGCAAATCAAAATAACTCTAAGATACCATCTTACTCCTGTCAGGATGGCTAAAATCAAAAACACCAATGACAGTTTATGCTGGAGATGTGGAGAAACAGGAACACTCATCCATTGCTGGTGGGAGTGCCAACTTGTACAACCACTTTGGAAATCAGTATGGAGGTTCCTCAGCAAAATGGAAATCAGCCTACCACAAGACACAGCAATTGCACTCTTAGGCATATACCCAAATGTGCACATTCATAAACAAGGACATCTGTTCCACTAAAATGAGAGCAGCATTATATGTAATAGCCAGATCCTGAAATCAAACTAGATGCTTCTCAACTGAATTGGGGATAGAGAAACTGTGGTACATTTACACAATGGAGTACTATTCAGCAGGGAAAAATATGGAATCGTGAAATTATCAGGCTAATAGACTGCACTAAAAGAAATCATCCCGAGTGAGGTAATGCAGTCACAAAAAGACAAACATGGTATGTACTCACTTATATTTGAATTTTAGACATGGATCAGGGGAATGCCAGCCTATAATCCCACTGCCAGAGAGTCTGGGAAACAGAACCTTCAACCAATGACTGATGATAACAAATACAGACACACACAGCTAAACACTGAGCAGAACTCAAGGAACCCAGTGACAGAGAGGGAGAAATGATGAGCATAAGTGTCAAGATTGGGCTCATTTAACCCACAGAAACAGCTGACCTAATCATGGGGGAGCTCTTGAATCCCAGAATGATGGCTGGGAATCCAGCATAGGACTGATCCAGACCCCCTGAATGTGAGTGTCAGTGAGGAAGCCTAGGCAATCTATGGGGCTTTGGATAGTAGATCAGTATTTATTTCTGGCATACAAATGGACATTGGGTGCCCATCCCCCATTGAGAAATGCTCTCTCAGCCTGGACTCTTGGGAGAGGGCCTAGCTACTGCCCTGGATGAAATGACAGACTATGGACAGCCCCCATGGAAGGTCTCACCATTCCTGGGGAAAGGAGTGGAGATTGGGGAAGGGGGTGGAGTATTGTATGGGGGGCATGGGAGGTGGGAGATAGAGTGAGATGTAAGACAGAAGAAAACAAAAAATCTAGGGATTGTCATTTGTCTATACTCTGTTCTTCCTATGAAAGTCTAATTTCCCTCATATTTATTATCTTCCATATTTTTGTCACTTCTGTTATGTTTAGACATAAAAGTTGAAATTTCTTTGTTGACATTAACACTGAAGTCCTCCATATAGAACAAAGAATTTCCTAACAGCAATCTTCAAACTCTCTGGAGAGAAAATGGGGCCCCATTTCATCAATTCTACCTAATCAAACTTGATCCATCTGAACTGACAATTACCACCCTGAAACAGGTTTGGGGCTACATTTGTCTAAACATCTCCAGACTAATTAACTGATATGGTGCAACTTCTTATTACACTCAGATCAGAGCCTCAGACAAGAACTTCAACCAAGATAAGAACTTCAAACAAGAACTTCAGTCAAGCATCTCCCACTAAAGAGAGAGTGGGTAAAATGTTGTAGCTAGTCTACTGGAAACTTTCATTACACTAACATTTTCTTCCAACTCGATCCCATAAGCTTATCATCATCCTAATTATGAAGGAAGTAACTCTGAGAATGCTATGCCCCATTTCCATAATGTTGATATTACATGATTATATATACCTGTTTAGAATTAGTTTTCAAATGTTTAGGGTTGGGATTGGAAAGAGGTGGTCAGACTTGGGCATCTCTTTCAGATAACTTTAGGGTTAAGATGGGATACATATGCTTAGGATGGGATATTGGTAGATTATTATATCTTCTGGTGATTTATAATTTGTTTATCACATTTTGTCATACTGTGTAAAGTCTTCTTTCTATGCATAAATATCCTTATCACCTTCTATTTATATGTGTTTTATATATGTTTGAGACATTTTGTATTTTGTATATTTGTGTATTTTGTATTTTGTATGTGTGACAGGAAGGACCTTGCACAAAGAGCCAAGCAGAGCTAAACGGACTAAAATGGACTTGTTCAAATAGAAACTCAACTGGAATCATGAACTGATTTTAAATTTTTATTCATTTTATATTTGATTAAAATATTTTCTGCAGAGGTGGAGGTGCCCAAGAGGAGAAAACAACCTCAGATTCTCTGAATCTCCAGTTACAGGTGGTAGAAAAGGCCCCTGTGTGTGCTAGGATTGAAAAGTGGTCCTCTGCATGAGCAACAATTGCTTTTGCCAAATGATTGTAGATGAAAATGTCTTCTTTCCCTTCATCTACTTTTGTAAGCAAACATATATGTCTGTTTGCTCATTTGCTCTGAGCCCTTGATTATACACTCTTCTCACTTGAATCCAGACAGTTTTCTCCAAGAAACCCTACTGGAATGTACTCAAGGACAGCAACTAAACAGAATATCAGTTTTCAACTCATTAGACAAAATTCAAGCCAATTAAGCAACAGTGAGGAGGTTGGATAGTGTACTCCAGAGACATGTTCCCACCTCACCCACCCAAACCTGCCATTCCAACTCATTTAATGCTCTCTTGATGACTGAGCTTCCCAGATTCACTATAAAGTCTCCACAGAGCTCACAGTCTACCCAGGTGTCCTTGGTAACAACAGTAGCTTACAGTGCTAGAAGACATCTCTAGGAGACAACTGAGAAGACCCAAATATTGCTTCAGATGTTTGGAAGGGGGCTCCAGTGAAGAATGGTGAGCAGAAGCCAGAGACCTGTATGCTTCAGACTCCAAGTGGGGATACGAGCCCAGCATTCTCTTCCAGCATGAGGTCTGAGAGACCTCAGAAGCATGAGATGTAATGAAATCCATTGCCTGGGTTTTCAGTATCCCTGCATGGTGGAGGTCAGCCAAGATGAGAGTGTAGCAGCAGTCTCCACAGAGAGGTCCTTACAGAGGGTTTCCTCACAAAAAATCTTCAAACCCTCCAGGCCATACTTGTCAGCAGCTGCCAGCAGAGTGTTGGCCATGCTGTGAAGATCTGGTGCCTTCCCAGTGTAAATGAAACCCATTATTGCCTTGAAGCCATGGGGCTCCAGATCGTGTATCTCAACGCGGTTTGTTCTGCTCTCCTCCATGTCATGTTCAAACATGGTTCTGAAAACTGGAGAGCGAGCTGCTAAGATGGCCTTGTGAGCCTGGAATTCCTGGCCAGCTACCACCAGGCAGCAGTCTGTGAAGAGGGAATTCTCCCACAGCTCTCCTAGCTCATCTGCCATCGTGCACCTTGGAATCTGGATCCCTGACTTCCTGGTCTGGTCACAGATACTGAAGGAGTCTTGAAACACAGTCACCTTCCAGAAGAGGGTGAGCTTGCCTTCAGGGAGAAGCCAATTCACATGGTCCATGAGGAAATCTTGAAGGATGAACCTTTTGAATCCCCATTCATAGCCTGGCAGGAACTTAATGGCACTTCCTGCCCTCATTCCAAGGACTATCTCTCCTTCAGCACTTAAGATCCATAGGTGGAACTTTGCCCAAACGTGACTCTTTGGACAGCTGAGCAACACTAGGTAAACTGACAAGTAATCTGTGTTTTCTTTGTAGGTCCCTTTAGTGTGTACTCTCAAACACCATTTGTCATTGCCTCCTGTTGAAAAATTTGTGCTTGTAAAGTGTTCCCGCATTTCCTCCAGAAAAAAATGGAAGTTGCTGATGGTCCACCTGTAGTAGACATTTGGCCTGCTGATTTGCTCGTAGATCCTGTCCTCACCTATCTTGTACTCTGACATTTTTGCTGGTGGTAATTTGAAGTTTAAACTGGATACAAAACAAACACCTGGGATTTATTATTTCTTCACTCTGTAGGACAAAATAATAGACACAGTTTAGAGTTTTCAGTTATGTTTTTATGTATTAATATTTCTATGAGGCTGGAACTTGGATGTTTCTGAAAATTTCAATGCAGATTTCAAGATTAGTTTCACAGAAGACAGTCAAGGGTACTTAGGGATGGTTAGATCATTCCATTTCCTAGATGGAATCATTTTTTAATTTTTTGAGACAGAGCTTCTCTGTATTGTGTTGGAGGCTGTCCTGGAACTAGCTCTTGTAGACCAGGCTTGTCTCAAACTCACAGAGTTCTGCCTGCCCCTGCCTCTCAGTGCTGGGATTAAAGGTGTGTGCCACCACTCCTCAACTCTAGATGGCATTCTAGGCCATTAGGAAATTATTTTTGAAAAGTATACACAACTTTTGAATAGTTTGGATCATTTTACACTCATAAAAATTGCTCTGCTAAAACAATGCAAATTTGTGGAAATTGAATAATGCACAATTGCACCACTCCTGGGTCAAAGAAGAAATAAAAAGAAATTAAAGACTTCCCAGAATTCCATGAGAATGAAGACACAGCATACCCAAACTAATGGGACACTTTGAAAGCAGTACTAAGAGGAAAGTTCATAGCAATAAGTGCCCACATGAAGAAACTGGAGAATAGTCACACTAGAGAATTAACAGCACAACTGAAAGCACTATAACAAAATGAAGCAAATTCACCCCAGAGGCACAGGTGCCAAGAAATATGTAAATTGAGGGCTGAAATCAATAACGTAGAATCTAGGAAAGCAATACAAAGAATCAATAGTAACAAAGACTTGGTTCTTTGAGAAAATCAACAATATAGACAAACATTTATCCAAACTTGCCAAATGACAGAGTATGAACATGCAAATTCAAAAAATCATAAACGAAGTAGGAGACATATCAAAGAACAGCGAGGAAATCCATAAAATCATCAGGTCATATTTTGAAAAGCTACAAACCACAGAATTTGAAAATTCAAATAAAAGGACAATTTTCTGAATAGATATTACTTGATCAAGAACAGATAAGCAATTTAAATAGTCCTATAACATCTAAGGAAATAGAAGCAGTCATCAAAAGTCTCCAACAAAAAAAACCCAGGGTCAAATGTCTTCAGTGCAGAGTTTTACCAGAAATTCAAAGAACAGCTTATTCCAATTCTCTTCAAAGTATTCCATGCAACAGAAGCAGAAGGGTCTTTTCCAAACTCTTTTTACCAGGCTTCAATAACATTGATACGAAATCAACACAAGGACACACCTAAAAAAGAGAGCTTCAGACCAATATCACTCGTGAACATTGCAAAATTCTTAATAAAATACTGGCAATTCAGGTCCAAGAACACATCAGAAAACTCATCCACATTAATAAGTAGGCTTCATTCCAGGGATGCAGTAATGTTTCAACATAGGAAAATGCATCAATGTAATCCACCACATAAACAAGTTGAGAAACAAAGACCACATGAACATCTCGATAGATGCTGAAAAAGCCTTTGACAAGATGCAACACCCATTCATGGTAAAAGATTGGAGAGCTCTGGGATAACAGGAACATACCTAAACATAATAAAAGCTATATACAGCAAACCAACAACCAACATAAAACTGAATGGAGAGAAACTCAAGGCAATTCCTCTAAAATCAGGAACATGACAAGGCTGGCCCCTCTCCCCATGCCTCTTCAATAGTGTACTCGAAGCTCTAGATACAGCAATAAGGCAACGAAAGGAGATCAATGGGCTGGAAATTGAAACGGAAGAGGTCAAACTTTCACTACTTGCAGATGATATGATAGTTTACATAAGTGATGCAAAAATCTACCCCGGAACTCTAACAGCAGATAAACACCTTCAGCAAAGTGGCAGGATACAAGATCAACTCAAGAAAATCAGTAGCCCTAATACATACAGATAAAAATTGGCTGAGAAAGAAATCACAGAGACATCACCATTTACAATTGCCACAAACATCATAAAATACCTTGGGGTAACGCTAACCAAACAAGCGAAAAACCTATATGGCAAGAAGTTTGAGTCTTTAAAGAAATTAAAGAAGACACCAGAAAATGGAAGGATCTCCGATGCTCTTGGATAGGTAGGATCAATTTAGTAAAAATGGCAATCCTGCCAAAAGCAATCTACAGACTCAATGCAATCCCCATCAAAATCCCAGCTCAATTCTTCACTGAACTTGAAAGAACAATTCTCAAATTGCTATGGTAAAATAAAAAGCTCAGGATACTCAAACAAACCTATTCAACAAAGCAACCTCTGGAGACATCACAATTCCAGACTTCAATATCTATTATAGAGCTATAGTCCTCAAAAGAGCTTTGTATGGGCACAAAAATTGACAGGTAGACCAATGGAATCAAACTGAACACCCTCAGATTAATCCACAAACTTATGAATGCCTGATTTTTGAAAAGAAGCTGAAATTTTACAATGGAAAAATGATAGCACCTTCAACAAATTGTGCTGGCATAACTGGATGATGGCATGTAGAAGAATATGGATAGATAGATCCATGTCTATCACCATTCACAAAACTTAAGTCTAAATGGATCAAATACCTCCACATAATTCCAGACACAAAGAACCTCTTAGAAGAGAAAGAGGGAGGAAACCTTGAATGAATTGGTATGGGAGAACACGTCCAGAACATAACACCAGTAGCACAAACACTGAGATCAACAATTAATGAATGGGATGTCTAGAAACTGAGAAGCTTCTGTAAGGCAAAAGACAAATTCAGCAAGACTAAACAAAGCAACCCACAGATTGGGAAAAGATATTCATTAACCCCAAATCTGACAGAGGGCTGATCTCCAAAATTTACAAACAACTCAAGAAACAAGTCTCCAAAACACCAAAAGATCCAATTAAAAGGGGAGGAATGAACTAAATAGAAAATTACAAATAGAGGAGTCTAAAATGGCTGAGAGACCCTTATGAAACTGCTCAACATCCTTAGCCATTAGGGAAATGTAAACCAAAACAACTCTGAGATACCATCTTACTCCTGTTAGAATGGCCAACATCAGAAACACTTATGACAGTTTATGCTGGAGAGGATATGGAGAAAGGGGAACACTGATCCATTGCTGGTGGGAGTGCAAACTTGTACAGCCACTTTGGAAATCAGTATGCAGACTCCTCCGGAAAATAGGACTCAGTCTACCACAAATCCCAGCAATTCCATTCTTAGGCATATACCCAAAAGATGTCCATTCACACAACAAGGATGTCTGTTCCGCTATGTTCACAATGGCATTATATGTAATAGTTAGATTGGAAGCAACCTAGACGCCCAACAACTGAAGAGTGGATAGAGAAAATGTGGTACTTTTAAACAATGGAGTACAAGTGAGAAGAAAAAAACAGTGGAATATTGAAATTTGCAGGCAAATGGATGGCACTAGAAGAAACCATCCTGAGTGAGGTAACCCAGTCAGAAAATTACAAGCACGGTATGTACTTACTCATATATCAATTTTAGAATGGATCAGGGGAGTGTCAGCCTACAATCCCAGTGCCAGTGAGTCTGGGAAACAGGGAGTTTCCCAAGAGATATTCATGATACCCTAGAGAAGTAGAATGAGGCAAGATCTCCTGAGCAGATTGGGAATGTCAGGGAGGGTAGAGGAAACCAGGAAAAAGAGGGGTGGATTAGAGGAGGGGTAAGAAAGCATGGAGGAGCAGGAAGGTTGAGTTGAGGTAAGAATAGAGGAAAGCAGGAAGAGAGATTTCATAATAGATGGAGTCATTATAGGTTTGAGAAGAGAGCTGACACTAGAGAGTTTTCCAGAGATTTACATGGATAATACTCACAGGCAAACTAATCAATAACAGAAGGAATACATTAATAGTCCCTCCTTGATTATAAGGTTGATGACAAACTTATATACTGTCCAAGAACTTTCACCCAGTGACTGATGGAAGCAGAGACAGATACCCACATCCAAATACTGAAATGAACTGTTGTGACAGAGATGGACGAATGATGAGCAAAGATAGCTGACCGGACAAGGGGAAGCTCTTGAACTCCAGACTGATGACTGTAAGGCCAACAGGGAACTGATCCAGACTCCAAGATTGTAGTGACAATGAGTTGGCATCACAAAGCTCTGGGGCCTTGGGTAGTAGTTCAGTGTTTACCACAGCATAAGAATGAACTCTGGGAGCCAAATCCACATGAAGGGTTGCTCCCTCAACCAGGACATACAGCGAAGGGCCTATGTTCTGCCCTGGATGAAATGAAAGACTCCGGAGATCTCCCCAAGGAGGGCCTTACACTCCCTGTGGAATGATGATGTATTGGGAAGGTGCTGGCAAAGTTGGTGTAGGGACAAGAGAGGAGAGATTGGAGACAGAGCAGAATTGATATGAGAAGCATGCATGTTTCTTATTTAAATAAAATCATATATTGAGGAAAAACTGTTCTGCTAGTGCTGTCTAGTGTAATACAATACATAGACTATATATCGCCATATATGAAGAAATGGGACTCAATAAAATCACTTATAGTTGAATTCCTGCTCATCCCACAATGGCTAGCTGTGAAGGGAAATTCCAAGAATCCATGACTGCATTTGGGAGGCAGAGGAGGTTGGATCTTTGTGTGTTTGAGACCAGCCTGATCTACAGAGCAGTTCCAGAAGAGCCCCCAAAAACACAGAGAAACCCTGCCTCAAAAATAAAACCAAAAAACCAGGAATCTAGTACTTACTCAATCCAGGAGGTAAGACTTGTGGGCCAGTCTTCAGTATATGCTGGAAGTCAAAGAAGTATTCTCTAATGGTACTTAAGGATGCACTTGTTGCAAGGTTTGTGCAAGAAGGCAGAGTGAAACAGCTCCCTTCTTCCATGTCCTTTTATATGCTTCCAGCAAATAAAGGTGTGTCCCAATTTAGGGTGTGTCTC